CGTTAATTATCGTAGTGTCCAAGAGCCAAAAGAAAATAGGAACCCACGTCCGGTAGGAAATAAGCTGCGTTTTGTAATAAGCTCGATACTGATCAGCAATGTCCACGCCATTCATGTGATGGTTGTAGTCATCAACGCATCGAGGAATGGCAAAAACCTTACGGAAAGAATCGCCAAATTGACGCCGTACGCTAGCTCCATTCGTAGACGTAATCCTAGGCCGTTTTCGCTCGCGATCAATCAACCACTGGGTACCTTCAACGTGGTGAATAGTCGACAATAATTGCACAGGTCCATTATCCATCCAAAAAATAACGAGAACGTTGCCTACTGCCATCGACTTAATCGTATTCCACTCGTGTTTTTTAGTCGTATCATTCCTGAAGCGCATTTCTTTTGGGTATTCTGCAGAGTTCGACTAGGCTGTTCCGCATGCACCAATGCCAACACTTCGTAAATGCTCAAATAATGGAATAGAGCTGAAATAATTGTCCATGAAAACATTAAACTGCATATTCCGCGGAAGTTTGCTGCATAAGTGAGCTACAATGCACCCAGTAGCACTCAACCGACCACATTTCGGCACTGGCGTAGCAACCACACGGGAAACCAACTCGAAAGTGAAGCAATAGCCCTTCGAACATAGAGCCATAACTTTATATCCTTCTGAAATTGGTTTATTTTTCATCCGTACTGTGTGTGCAGAGCGTCCTGAAAAGCGAATCATCATTTCATCGACGCTAACGTTGCTATCCGGGATATAGAGATCCTCAAATTGCTGTTTTAACTGAGATGCAAACGGCTCCACCTTTGCGTACCACTCGTTAGAGGTTGTTTCCACAGCAGAAATATGAAAATACCATCTTATTTGCTCGAAACGATCACGCGTCGCGAACTGTATGTTACTTGTAGCCTCTACTCTTGAGCCAAGCCGAGTAAGCCGCCCATTTACGGTAGTACCCATTGTCATTCAGGGACTTGAAGTTGCCATTCTTGTATGCTTTCCGCACGATAGGCTCGAGCATGAACCTCTGGTAATAAACGTCGTCAGCGCTTTCTCCGTTCGCATGCCACTTGGCAAAATTTTGAGCCAGCGTTTTGCCCCCTCTCTCTTCATCATCAACACTGTCAACTTCTCCCTCGTCGTCCTTGTCAACTCTGTCGGCGCCGAAAATAGTCTCGGAACATCGTAGGGATCGCTTGCTGTTGGCATCAATCAATTCCTTCGAGTTCACCGCAGAGAATTCGGTTTGATCGGCATTCGGGGCCGCCAAGCTAGTGCTACAACCGGCAGCGAGCGTGGCCATCACAAGAAAAATATGCGCAAGCTTGATTGGTGACGA